ATATACTACACTATGGGAAATATTTTTATAGGAAAATTCACCAAAATGTGACATTCAAGTGGGCTACAACTTGTGCCCACCCTAGTATTCGGAATAACAACGTTCATTACTTAAAGTACTCCGGACTTACTTTAAGGGCATTGTAGGGCAAGGTTCAATTTTAACAATCACATAAAAACACCATGACCCATAAACCAAAATTAACCATTTAAATCGTCGTCATGTAAGTAATTATTTGGATGAATAAATGTAGTCAACATTTAAATTAGGTAAGGTATGTAAAGTTACTCGTACCTACCTAAGCCTATTTCTTATTTTTGTACATAAGAATGAATGGTTTATTTATTTAAATTAAGTTGAACCTTGAATTACGAAAACAAAGATAAACTACATTACGAGAAAACTATTTGTTTGTCAAATAAAATATTTTAAGGCACGTAAAGTTTCAGGTTTTTCATGGTTTTTCAGTCCAGTTTGATTATTTGAAGAATGGTTTACATCTGCATTGTTTTTAAATGCACCTTAATAATCGTAGATTTTCTCTCTTCTTTTCCTTATTTCTAAAATATTTGGGGTAACCATCAATTCATCTAAACATGGAAAACAAAATTTTCTTTTAATTTACAATAAGAACATGTTAGCGCCATCTGTGTGTTTCTTGTGGAACTAAATGGCGTTTCATTGCCAAGTACAGAAACGAAGGGCGTTTGTTTCGTTTACATTCAGAAACGTGTGCGCGGTGAAAATAATGTGAGGGAGATTTTATAGATGACGCTTTTTCGACGCCTTATTACCCGACTGTTTTAAAGAAGGATTATGTGTTTCAGATTTTGAAACAATATTAAATTGTACAAGAGCACAGTTAATAACACTACTAAATTCGATTAAAGATAGCGAGCGTTCGAAAGTTTAAAATATATAAAAATAAAATAAAACACGAAAAAAGTAACAAAAAATCTTAAAGCTTTATTCAGACCTTACTTACTGTACCTACTTTTTGTAAGTAGGTACTTATTTACTAATTTATATTACTTGACATTAATTAATGTTTATGTTACAATATCCTCAACAGTTTCAGTACTATTTTACATTTTAGAGGAAATGCTCAAATTTTCCTTTAAATTTTCTTGAAGGTATCCAACATTGAAGTTTCCTGTTTTACCCGAACTAGTTTCTGGCCTTTCGATTGTGTTTTCTCCATCATTCGAGATGCGTCTCTTTCTGAAAGAAATTACGATTTCGTTTTTTCAATTTATTTATTTATTTATTTTATTTTTATTTATTATTCATTATTGAGCAATTACATATTTGATCCAAATAGCGTCCTAAATCCTTTTTAGGTTTGTCTAGACAATATTATATTATATTATATTATATTATATTATATTATATTATATTATATTATATTATATTATATTATATTATATTATATTATATTATATTATATTATATTATATTATATTATATTATATTATATTATATTATATTATATTATATTATATTATATTATATTATATTATATTATATTATATTATATTATATTATATTATATTATATTATATTATATTATATTATATTATATTATATTATATTATATTATATTATATTATATTATATTATATTATATTATATTATATTATATTATATTATATTATATTATATTATATTATATTATATTATATTATATTATATTATATTATATTATATTATATTATATTATATTATATTATATTATATTATATTATGGTTACTTATATTGGGTTTTGATCTGGAGATATTGGCCACAAATTACTTGGAAACAGAAAGGCCCATAAAATGTCATGCACGTCAATTATGAACTGAATATTTTTAAACAATAATAAAGTTTCATTTTGCACTCATAAAAATGTGTGGTCACCCTATACCAATTATTTTGAAATAGAGTCTAACATTTTTTAAGGGCGTTTAACTGCACTGCATCCCTGATACTAGTATTATGTTTGTCCGACGAAATGGTAGTTAGTACATAGTATGTTACTCGTATAGGATGCAGCGCGTAATCGCTCATAAAATAAATAAGTAAAAGTAGGCGTAGTTAACTTGAAAAGTTACCTAGGTTTAAGGCACAAAATGAAAAGGTTGTTGACAGGAGCCTCTGCCAAGAGCCAGATGATGAACGCGCAGAAGGTCCCCAGACAAATCACACTCAATGATGACATGAACTGAAAACGGTAAAAATATGTAAATACATTTGTCTACCATTTTATTCATAGGGCTTCTTGCGAGCTTTACAAAGTTTTTCAGTTTATAATAATGATTATGGAAGGTCTACAAAGGCTTGTAGACCTTCCATAATGCCATGGTGATATAATCGAGGTACATTCACAACTCTCCTCCTACCTGAGCGTTAATTTCTAAAGTATTGTCTATTTTATTTTAGGCACTTAAACCAAAGAACTTGAAAATTATTTATTCGCTGAATACAATGAGGATTCAGGAATGATTCTCCAGCTTTATACGAGTATTGCAACTATATTTTATTTAGTTGTAATGGCGGAATCGTAGTTTTAAAAAAAAATTTTTTGCCATTGCGCTGATCGTACGTTACTCGTACTCGTACTACGGAGAGACACATCACACAGCAGAGGGCTGAGTGTGAGTTTAAATCAAACGCGCTCTCTAGTAAGCGCGTTTAAAAAATGCATGAAAATTTCAGTTCTTGAAAGTTTCCGCTAGGAGCGCTGAACGCTGACGGAAATATTAATACATTAATTTGATTTGTGACATTGTATGTTAAATAATAATCTGACTGATAAAATATTTGTACGTCTGCTTGCAGGCTGAATACATGGGAATCATATTAACTATAAGATCTGCCTTGTAAAACGGGCATGTAATTATGTATTCTAGCAAATAAATTATTGAATTTTTGAATTTTTTTTTTTTGAACAATCCCTTATAGATACATTTAATGTCATTTTTTACGTAAACTCACACTAAGCCCTCAGATGTGTGTAGAAATATTTTTGTGGTCTTGGTTTTGCCTTGGTGTTGTGCTACCGGTGTTAGGCCTCAGCCTCGAGTTTAGCGGGCAGCGGGGCGGGAGCGGCGGCGGCGCGGGAGCGACAGGATCTTATGCGTAAAATCAAATAGACCGGTTCTCGAAAACAGCGGCGCGGGAGCGGGCAACGAGCGGGCAGCGCACTCCTTCTTTTGCCCACAATAAATCGAGCGTTAGGAATAAATTTGAATCGAAATAAAATTGTCGCCGTTGTTCAGACATTTCGTTTGCGAATAAAAACAAATATCTCGACAACACAACCCCGAACACAACATTTCGCCGCTAAAGCGCCGCGCGAGCTGCCCGCTTGTTTCGAGAACGGGTCTGCGTTGCCCGCCCCGCTCCCGCGCCGCCGCCGCTCCCGCCCCGCTGCCCGCTAAACTCGAGGCTAAGGCCTAAAGTGTAGTTTCTTTTAGAAGGAAGCAGTAAGAACTTTCTTGCAGAACTTACAACAGAAAGGTTGTCATAATAGACCGGGTTCCTAGCAATGCCGACGTTTCTGATGATGAGCACAGTGTGCGTGAGGTACAAGCCGTACGCCAGCCGGCTCAGCGGCACCCACGGGTACCAGCAGAGGAAGCTCTTCAGCAGCGCTGGAACAAACCATCGTTATTATCAGGTCAGTCATTGTCATCTCTCTCCTCATGTCGTGCCCTGAGTGCCCGAGCAGCTGCACTCGAGATTTGATGAGTGCTACCAGAGTAAATACAAATGAGTAGGTCATCTCATAGAAACGCGCACGCACACACTGACAAAATTCGGCGCAACCATGACTGGCTCTCCGCTAATCCCCGCTAAATTTTGTCAGTGTGTGCGTGCGCGCCGCATACGTGTTGGCGCGCTCACATACAAACCGCGCTCGATGCGTTTCTATGAAGATGACCTACTCATTTGTATTTACTCTGGTGCTACTGACGGCAGAGATTTGGGCTGACACTGTGTAGGTTTGTTGTCGACACGAAAAGAAAAGAAGAAGATCAGGTCAGTCAGTCTCCACTACAGGAACACGGCTCATTTACAAAAGGAAAATGGAAGATTTGAACAGCACTAAAATTCAGACTGCATTAGATTTATGGGAATTTTAGTCAGCATTTAAGAAAAACCATATCACCTAAATATAATAACTCAAAGGTGACTGACTGACTGACATAGTGATCTATCAACGCACAGCCCAAACCAATGGACGGATCGGGCTGAAAGACATGCAGGTAGATGTTATGACGTAGGCATCCGCTAAGATAGGATTTTACGAAACTCCACCCCTAAAGGGGTAAAACGGGATCCACACACTGCTGCTGAAAAGATAAGGTGATTAAAATTTAAGATTTGTACCATCGTAAAAACCCTCGAAAAACTGTAATTTACGCGCTACGAGGCCTACGAGTGTGCTACGAATCTACTAGACATCGCTTACGCTATAAACTACGGGATACGTTCGTAGCATTTTCGTAGACAATTTATTATAATACCTAATATTGACTCATGATTTTAATTATTTATACCTACTATTAATTTTCATTATCATTTCATTTTTCTACTGGATATAGGCCCTCAAAACATAATCCTCCTTCTGGCGCAGTCAGGTAAATACTGTATATTCGTAATTGTAAAGTGATCTAAATGGTTATGATACAGGTAATTTATAGATATTGTCGGCCGTTTGGTGTAGTGGTTCAGAACGGACTACTGTGCCGAGAGGTCCCGGGTTCGATTCCCGGCCGGGCAGAAATTGAAATGATGAGTTTTCATTTCTGTGACGGGTCTGGGCGTTTTCTATGTATATTATGTATTTACAAAAAAAAAGTAAAGCATGATAATATCCGTTGTCTAGTACCCATACTACAAGCTTTGTTTAGCTTGGGGCTAGCAAGGTGCAGTGTAAAATGTTAAAAAAAAAACAAATACCGCCTTAGCTATTCGTAGGTATCTGATCGGATGGATTTATTTATTAGGTACTTACGGACATCACCAAAAGAGCAGCACAGTATCAGTAGAACCACACCAATGGCCCACACGGGACGGTTGGCAGCGGCGTACAGCGCGCCCTCAGTCGGCGAGTAGCTGCGCCACAGGTATGACGTCCCGATCACCATGACCAGTAACATGATGACTGTGGCTGCGCACGCGCCGGTCACTGAGCGTTTCTGGTAAGGTTTTTTTAAGTAATTTTAAGAAAATAATGCCCGTTTTCACCATCAATCCCTAATTTTTAAGTGACCCCTATGGTAACACATAACAGAAATTTTGTTTTTAAAGGGGTCACTTAAAAATTAGGGATTGTTGGTGAAAACGGGCATAAGGCAAGTTTCGTGAGCTGTCGCGGTGGTAGAGCAAGCACTACTCATTCTGGAGTTATTTTTTACATTTACTAATTATTAGTACTAGCTGTTGCCCGCGGCTTCACCCGCCTGAAATTTAGTTTGTCACAGATCGTCATAAATTATAGCCTAATGCTATTCTGGGTTATTAACAATAATACTGTAAAGTTTCATCAAAATCCGTTCAGTAGTTTTTGCGTGAAAGAGTAAAAAACATGTTAACATCCAGACATCCATACAAACTTTCGCATTTTTTATAATATTGGTAGGATTAAAAGTTCCACAAGATAATAAGCATGTATTTAGGCAGTGATTTATATTAGATGGTAAAATTTCGGATTTCATTCTTCAATCAAAGGTTTTAAATTGGATGTTGGGGGAAGCCTTCAGCAGTGGACATTCTATGGCAGAAATGATGATGATGATTAATTGTGGATGAAAAATCCCACAGTAATATTATCTAATTTTTTTAGCCTCGCTTAGTACCTACAGCCCAGCCCTGATGGAAAAGAGCTGAATAAAATAAGGTCTTCGTACCTTCACGTAAAACAGGAAATAGTTTGAATACCTATGAAACTTTCCTCCTAGAAAAATTACTTAATTCAGTAAGTTTGATATGATACTAACCTTTGATAATACGATATTATTTTTCTTCTTACTGGCAAAGTAGCCCCCAGCAAAGAATCCGATGATATACGCAGCTGCCCTGGTGTGGGTCTTGATGTATGCTATTTGAAACTGGGCGTTTGCTCGAGGGTTGGCTACGAAACTGAAATAAAAGTGTTTAAAATGGTAAGCAACTTTAGCTTTCGTTTCATCAAAATATAAAACATCATATTCCTGTCTCTTAGTTCCTGAGTCTATGATACTTATAACATTGATGACTAATAAATATTTAAAAAGATTAGGCTTTGTGATTCTCAAACCAGTACATTTACTGGAATCTGGAATAAGTATACGAGTACATGTTTATTGAGTTTCTTACGCTGCTTCTTCTCAGCACTGGCCATTTATTGTCCTGAAGCAGTGGTAGGGTTAATACCGGGATGTGTAAAAGTGCTTTTTAAAAGCCTTCTTACATAATAAATGTTTTAATGCTGGCAATAAGTTAGTTTGTATCTTTAATTGAAGTGGTCAAGCACTTAGAAGAGATACAAGTATTATTATTATGGTTTATTTTATTTTATTTGTACAAAAAACACAGAGTACAATCAACAAGGTACATTTACAACCAACAATAAATACAGTTTTAATCTAGATTGTAATCCAAAAAAAGTCATTATTAGCTTACATTAAGAATTACCCAATGGAGATTTCTATGTACTAACATAATCATTGTTTAATTAGCCCTTTATAAAACTGTAATTTATACAAGTTCATTGAAATATAAGTAAACTCCTATCAACAATGGGCAAACGCAATTATGAGGGAGTCACGCGATGACACGCGTTGTCTTACAGACTACACTTTATATCTACCTAGACCTAGCACCTTACATAATGCAGGTGGAAAAATACATTATGATAGGACAATAACAAATGAGTCTACTATAGTCAATGATGGTGATGAGTGTGGTGATGACACAACATTCGAGAAAAGTACGGCGAAGTTCGTTGAATTGTGTGTACACGCACCTAAGTAGTTATGTGACTGCATAGTGTAGATCGTAATGAGTAAAATGTTTCAGACCTATAGACAAGTAGAGCTAGAGCTAGCTTGGTTATTTATCTGTCTGTAATTTAGCAGCACTAAATCTATGACTTATAATTGAAAACTTTAACAGACTTCCATGTGATTAACTTGAATTTTTAATAACTTTGGTAAATTGAATATCCAAAAAATCGACCGAATCGAATCGTTTAGAAAATATAGGTACTCTTAAGTGACCGTTTTCACCATCAATTCCGATTTTTTAAGTGACCCCTATGGTAACATACAACAGGCATTTTGTTTTCATAGAGGTCACTTAAAAATTAGGTATTGATGGTGAAAACGGGCATCTCTACTTTTTCTAAACAATCAACCTGACTTTGTAGCTATTTTAATCACTTCCTATAGATTGCTCACGCAATCTCCCAAGTGTAAACAAACAAACGTAGGAAAATAACAGAGGTTTCGTAATGTTATTGTTCATGGTACCTTACAGGCCTTATCTTTGTCTTGAGACTTTGAACTGAGGCCACAACCCCACAATCATAAGTACTCGTACTTCAAGTACATACTGTCTTAATCATGACTTTAAAGGTCCGTCTCAGCATGGCCTCTTAATTGATTTTCAGACAATACAAGCATAGTCATATGACACACTACGATCATTGAAATTTCACTTGACCGTCATAATATACTCGTAGATTGACCTTCGTAATTTGTCCGTATTAACCTTTAGTATTTCATGATATTTCACAAATATGCTTTACCTACTATAAAAATTAGCGAAATTTTTGAGTTAATATTGTGTAAGATCTGAATAGATCTTTGTAGCACTAAGATGTTCTAAGTGGTGTTTACCTAAGTATTATTTGTTATTAATTGAAGGGCAGTATGAATTGTCTAAGTCGTACAATATTGCGTGTTGAACCGCCGACCACTGACCTATCGTGTGAAAAACTTGCGAGTGCGATGGCACTCAAATGCTTCTGCCACTGCACATTAAAGTTCTTGATGAGACGAATTAACTGTTAAGAGACCTCAATTGGGACGACGAATCAATTAAGCAATTATACCGAATAATTTATTCCCTTGATGGACCCAGTTGATGATCTTATCGTTCCTTTAATAACATTAAAGTCGTTTGACCAGTTTATTAATTAGCTATATCAAGGGCGTGCACCGTGCACTTTGAGTAATCATAAAGCGTATGCATGATGAGCATGACAAATTAACCGTTTTAACTGGAGATACCTACCTACCCTAGTCATTGACTCGTATGTCAGTAGAAGACAAATATGCATGTCAAACACTGGTCAGGTCATCAACGCGCATCAAATGATTGAAGGCTGATCACGCAAGACATCTGACCTCAAAATATTTATTTAGATATGCCTCATACTAGACTAGATCGGGTTCAATAAAAACGACCATACCTACTATCGTAGCACTCATGTGAAAATTCGTTGCTTAATAAGGATATCTGAAAACAACTTACATAACTTGTCGCATTACCTGGTAGAACTGACTACGTCAGTAGGAGAAGAAAACTTCTCAACTGCTAGTAACTACGGACTAGAAACAGATTGCCTGATTTACGTAATGTCCAGGAAGCTGTTAGGTGCCCAAATTGCTGTTTGTGCTAAGGAGCTGTGTAGTTGTACAGGTGGATGTAAAAGAAACTCACTCAAAAGTAAACAGTTGCACCGCAGACAAACTGTTGACAACTCCTGGGGTGATGACTGAGGCGGTCGTCAGGACGCACGGGAAAACCAGTTCTTGTAGAATCAGTATCCCAATATTCCCAATGACTTAGCTAATGATGCAGGCTGCCAATGGACGTCAAAGATGTTCCGAAGAGCAGCTACTAAAGGTGGACGTTGAAGGAACTCACTCAAAAGTAAACAGCTGCACCGCAGACAGATTGTTGACGTAGTTAACAACTCCTGGGGTGATGACGGAGGCGGCGGTCGGGACACAAGGGAAAACCAGTTCTTTGTAGAATCAGTATCCCAATGACTTAGCTAATGTTGCGGGTTGCCAATGGACGTCAAAGATGCTCCAAAGAGCAGCTACTAAAGGTGGATGTTGATTGTTGAAGGAACTCACTCAAAAGTAAACAGTTGCACCGCAGACAGATTGTTGACGTAGTTGACAACTCCTGGGGTGATGACCGAGGCGGTCGTCAGGACGCACGGGAAAACTAGTTCTTGGAACCATTATCCCAATAACTGAGCTAATGTTGCCAATGGACGTCAAAGATGTTCCGAAGAGCAGCTACTAAAGGTGGATGTTGATTGTTGAAGGAACTCACTCAAAAGTAAACAGCTGCACCGCAGACAGATTGTTGACGTAGTTGACAACTCCTGGGGTGATGACGGAGGCGGTCGTCGGGATGCAAGGGAAAACCAGTTCTTGGTAGAACCAGTATCCCAATGACTTAGCTAATGTTGCGGGCTGCCAATGGACGTCAAAGATGCTCCGAAGAGCAGCTACTAAAGGTGGATGTTGATTGTTGAATGAACTCACTCAAAAGTAAACAGCTGCACCGCAGACAGATTGTTGACGTAGTTGACAACTCCTGGGGTGATGACGGAGGCGGTGGTCAGAACGCAGGCGCAGACCAGCCCAAACCCGCGCCAACGTTTGTACAGCGCGTATGTGAGGATGGTCAGCGCGAATAGATGGAAGTCGCAAGGAATGTACCAGGAGACTACGATGCACTGAAAAGAGATCATTTCAGAAAAAGAATTCATTTGATATCTAGTTTGGGGACCGAAAGAGAGTAATTACGTCAAGAAGTTGATTTTGGTAGACGAAAGCTTTATAACTTAAAAAAATCTGTTTGTTGTTGTTGTTGAAGGACAATTGAATCATGTATTTTTGTAATGATATCTCCTAATGCTCTCACGTTTTTGTTCATAGGTTCATAGTAGGCAAATATATCATAAGAAGTTCCTCCTTCTATTCCGCTAACTTCAAATAATATTTACCGCATTATCCGTGTTGATATAGTTGCTCAGCATGAGTATATTGAGCCACCAGTTGGTTCGGCACGCGTCCGTCTCGCCCGCCACGAACCTCTCCCACAGAGGGCCGGAGCCGGTGAGAGGGAAGATGGCACACACGTAGAATACCACCACTGCTAGAGCTACCACTAGTCTGAAAATAGTTTAAGTATCTTTAAAAAAATACAATACTTTAATACCTATTAAAGGCCTATTCAGACCTAAGCGGTATTCGCTACCATCTGCGGCAGAGAAAACCCAGTGGGTATGCGGTAAAAATACTGTTCAGACCTAAGCGGTATTCGCTTCCGCCTGCGGCAGAGAAAACGCTCTAGCCGCGGTACTTGATACTAAATACCTGAGCGAAACCCGCGTGGTATGTACCCACAGCGGCAGCGAATATCGCTCAGGTTTGAATAGGCCTTTATATTCGAGCGTCAATAGTCCAATAGTATCGATGTCGGAAAGGTCGAATCGAGATCCAAAGAATGCGGGTTTGAAACCCGCCTCCGCTGGACTATTGAAGTAAACTTAATCGTAAAACAAAAATATTTAGTTTTCCACGAGGATTTACAAATTACTAATATTTGTTTGTAAAAAAAATATACCCAGTGGCGAAGACAGGCATTAACAAATTCTAAGCATTAAGTTTATATGACATCGTCATTAGAGAAACTACGAGTACACATATAACTAACTACCTACTTGTCATAGAATAGGCAGTAAAAAGCACGGCCATTTGTTGTTATGTGAATGCAAATAGTATCTGACGCATATCCGTTTACATTTTATTTATACGAATAAATGTAACCACATAATTGAATTTGTATCATTGCCATTATTACTCAGACATCTCAATCAATTCAGCTAATTAAATCAATCAATTAAAACAGTATTCATATTATACCTTATGTATCTTTTCAATAGTAGCAAGAAGATGTTAGGAAGTTTCTCGTATGCTGTGATGGTCTTGGCCATGAGGAATCCGGAGATCACGAAGAAGGTGTCCACAAATACGTCGTCGTGAAGGATAAATATGGCAAACGGTGATAAAGTTACCTCCTAAAATGATATAAAGATCGTTAAAAGTAGATTTTAGAATCCTAAATGCCCTTGACAGTTATTTTTATAAAATCATACATAATACAATAGGGGCACAATTAAGTCTCTACAGTTAAAGGACTTTTCGTTAAGTACTTCACTTTTTAGAAGTCACTTACTCCTAAAAATGGATGAAAACGATTTTTCAATAAAGTTTTCCTAAATGAATGGCTATCTTTGAACTCAAAGAATCACTTTCACATCTTAATTCAGAAATCTAGTTGTCTTGGCAATTATAATATTGTAAGTATCTATTTCATTTCTATTATACGTATAAAGTATGTTATTATGTCGTTATACTTGCTTTATCAACTCCGATGCCATTGCTGATCGGCCCAGAATTCAGCATGCCAGCCTGATGGCACATTACAATGAAGCAGATTGTTAGGTATCGTATTCCATAGATAACTTCAATGCCGTCTTTTTGCATTTTCAGAAGGTCTTTCGAGTTTTCTTTCAGGCAGAAAGCTTTGCAGACATTGTAACCTGAAAGACCATGTTAATTTTACAACTATTTGATGGTAAAGAGAGATCTATGGAGGAATTAAACAAATACTCACTCAAGCTGTTACTGTTTTCTCTTCTAGCGTTAATTATTGTGCATATCAAACAAATTATGGCTAGTCCAACCATAAGAGCTCTGTAACAAATAATGTAAAGAATTGTTAAAAAATATATTCCGTTAAGATCAATCATACCGTACAGTAGCTATTTTTAGACAGAAAAGCATTTTTGATTCACTTTTTATGATAAATAAACTTTTATGCTTAAAGGAGTTTGCCAAATTATTCAGAATCATTAGCATTTTAAAGAATGCTAATAGACTTGGTAGCTATGAAATAATAGAAATGGTAAGAATCTCATCTAAGGCGGGGTACTCACCTGCCATGTAACACGTAACGTAGCATGTAACGTAATCAACCTTCAAGTGAGTACGGCTCGTCCACGGTCATCGCGTATCTGGCTGCGAGCTCCTGAATCCTACTGCGAGCCGTCTTTGTGTCTCTCTCCCTGCGAACCACGCGCGAGCAGCTCGCAGCGGGCTCGTGCCTATGTACTCACTTGATACAGTATCTGATACATTACACGCTACACGGCTAGTTGAGTACCCTGCTTAAGGGTTTTTGAAAGGTCATTAAAATACACAGGCAAACGTTGCTACGAAGGTACCAATAGGTACTAAGGAATACGTACACGAAAGCGTAGAACAGTGCGTCGAATTTCCTCGGGCTGTTTGTCTGCTGACAGGGCTCGCTCACAGCAATGCGCGGTCGCAGCCCAGCCGCGCTAAGATGGCTGCGGGCAAGTACCGCGCTCACCAGGCGTTCTACAGAACGTGGTTGGCATACCGAGGGTACACAAGCTCCCCATGTCAAGTGGGATAGTGGACGGACGTTTGGCGTATGGTGCTAGGAAAACAGAGTCAATTTAAACAACATAGCTGCGCTACACAAATGAGCTAAATAGTCCAGTTTTCTTTATAAACCATGTTTATGTAAGCACGCAAGCACTGGCATAACCAGGCGTTCTACTGAGCGTGATTAGCATACCGAGGGTATACAGGCTCCCCATGTCAAATGGGAGAGTGGACGGACGTTCGGCGTGTGGTGCTGGGAAAACATAGTAATTTAAACAACAATGCACTTCACGAATCGTCGCTTGCCTCTCTAACTGACGTATCTGTCATTTTTTTCAAAACTGAGATAACTACACCATCTTAATCAATTTTGCAAGACGAATCGATCTGTCTAATCGCCTGGAAATTTTGCAAAATGTCAGTTACGTCAGTTAGAGAGGCAAGCGACGAAATGAGCTAAATGATCCAGTTTTCTATAAAGAAAATGGTAGTAATAATAGGTAATGTTGCAGGTCCAATGACAGTTTAACTTTCCCGCGGTACAAACTTTACCTTCACTGGTTCGATTTTATTGACAGTCAAGCTTAAGGTCCTGGCTACACAGGAGTTGTAACGGTGGAAACGAGAAGTGGATGATAATAACGCCCGTATTCACAAACGACGCTTGCTTATCTGAAGCAGAAAATCAAACGCACAGCGTTGAATAGAGCTCTGTGATTGATTCGTGTGTCACCCTGTGCGTCTACGCGCATTGTGAGACCACATAGTAATGTTTATGAAAACGGGCGTTATAATCTTCAAAAATGTATAATGTAGGAAAGCATAATATCGTAAAATAATCATAAATAAGTAGCATAAAATCGCTTCCACCTTCGGCCTGGGTGAGATACAGGCCTAGAGCCTCCTCGTTGTGGATAGTAGAAAAATATTTACATGGTTTATGATGTGCGTCGCATGTTAATAACGAATTTGATTGCCTTTTGAAAACTATAATCTCATTTAGCATCAAGATACTAATTAATGTAGAGAAGATGTGCGTCGCTTAGGGTAAATTTTATTTCCATTTATGAATGATCTCACTTAGCATCAAGACACTAATTATATCGCACGGACTAAGGGCATTGTGTTTCAGCATGCAAATGTTGCAATAGGTAGGTACAGGTGAATCAGATAAGAATAATTATAGACCAATTAATAATAATAATATTAAATGTACTAAGTTTTTATAAATCTCAATGAATTCAGCTAATTAAATCAATCAATTAAAACAGTATTCATATTATACCTTATGTATCTTTTCAATAGTAGCAAGAAGATGTTAGGAAGTTTCTCGTATGCTGTGATGGTCTTGGCCATGAGGAATCCGGAGATCACGAAGAAAGTGTCCACAAATACGTCATCGTGAAGGATAAATATGGCAAATGGTGATAAAGTTACCTCCTAGAATGATATAAAGATCGTTAAAAGTAGATTTTAGAATCCTAAATGCCCTTGACAGTTATTTTTATAAAATCATGCTTATTACAATAGGGGCACTTACACAGCGCACAATTAAGTCTCTACAGTTAGAGGACTTTTCTTTACTTAACTAAGTGACTCCTAAAATGGATGAAAACGATTTTTTAATAAAGTTTTCCTAAATGAATGGCTATCTTTCAACTCAAAGAATCACTTTCACATCTTAATACAGAAATCTAGTTGTAATGGAAATTATAATATTGTAAGCATGTATAAAGAATATTATTATGTCCATGTACTTGCTTTATCAACTCCTATGCCATTGCTGATCGGCCCAGAATTCAGCATGCCAGCCTGGTGGCACATCACAATGAAGCAGATTGTTAGGTATCGTATTCCATAGATAACTTCAATGCCGTCTTTTTGCATTTTCAGCAGGTCTTTCGAGTTTTCTTTCAGACAGAAAGCTTTGCAGACATTGTAACCTGAAAGATATGTTAATTTTACAACTATTTGATGGTAAAGAGAGATCTATGGAAGAATTAAACAAATACTCACTCAAGCTGTTACTGATTTCTCTTCTAGCGTTAATTATTGTGCATATCAAACAAATTATGGCTAGTCCAACCATAAGAGCTCTGTAACAAATAATGTAAAGAATTGTTAAAAATATATCCCGTTAAGATCAATCATAACGTACAGTAGCTATTTTTAGACAGAAAAGCATTTTTAAGAGTCACTTTTTATCTATATATATAAAAATGAAACCCGTTTCGCGTTGTCACGGCATCACGTGTGAACGGCTGAACCGATTTCGATAATTCTTTTTTTTAAATGTTTGTGGAAGTCCAAGGATGGTTCTTACGGAAAAAAATATTAAGAAAATCTCTACGCTAAGGCGGTACGAAGTTCGCCGGGTCAGCTAGTGATAAATAAACTTTTATGCTTAAAGGAGTTTGCCAAAATATTCAGAATCATTAGCATTTTAAAGAATGCTAATAGACCTGGTAGCTATGAAATAATAGAAATGGTAAGAATCTCATTTAAGGGTTTTTGAAAGATCATTAAAATACACAGGCAAACGTTGCTATGAAGGTACTAATAGGTACTAAGGAAATACGTACACGAAAGCGTAGAACAGTGCGTCGAATTTCCTCGGGCTGTTTGTCTGCTGACAGGGCTCGCTCACAGCAATGCGCGGGCGCAGCCCAGCCGCGCTAAGATGGCTGCGGGCAAGCACTGCGCTCACCAGGCGTTCTACTGAACGTGGTTGGCATACGGAAGGCACGCAAGCACCCCATGTCAAGTGGGATAGTGGACGGACGTTTGGCGTGTGGTGCTGGGAATATTTAGTCAATTTAAATAATAGTGGACCACTTATACAAATGAGCCAAATGCTCTAGTTATAAATCTATAAGCAACATGGTAATAATAATAGGTAACGTTGCAGGTCCAATGACAGTTTAACTTTCCCGCGGTACAAACTTTACCTTCACTGGTTGGATTTATATTGACAGTCGACCTGCAGATCCTGGCTACACAGAAGTTGTAGCGGTGGAAACGAGAAGTGGATGTTATTAACGCCCGTATTTACATTGATGCTTGCTTATGTGAGGCAGCAAATCGAACGCACAGCGTTGAATAGAGCTCTGTGATTGATTCGTGTGTCACCCTGTGCGTCCACGCGCACTGTGAGACCTCATAGTAATGTTTATGAATACGGGCGTTATAATCTTCAAAAATGTATAATGTAGGGGAGCATAATATCGTAAAATCATAATAAGTAGCATAAAATCGCTTCCACCTTCGGCCTGATCATCACTGATACAGGCCAAGAGCCTCCTCGTTGTGTATAAAAAAATATATTTACATAGTTTATGTGCTTCGCATGTTAATAACGAATTTGATTGCCATTTGCAAACTATAATCTCATTTAGCATCAAGATACTAATTAATGTAGAGAAGATGTGCGTCGCTTAGGGCGAATTTCATTGCCATTTACGAATGATGTCACTTAGCATCAAGACACTAATTATATCGCACGGACTAAGGGCATTGTGTTTCAGCATGCAAATGTTGCAATAGGTAGGTACAGGTGAATCAGATAAGAATAATTATAGACCAATTAATAATAATAATATTAAATGTACTAAGTTTTTATAGAGCTTCAATATTAACTACTCATCGTCATTCAGCGATACCCAATATGAATAACATTGTAACTTAAAAAAGTTACACGTTTGAGTAACTTTCAACAGACAATTTTATTCTACACTCGACATCAAATAAATCGCACCTCCCGCGACAAGCATTTTCAAACGTATGCATCCCCACTTCCCACCAATATTGGCACCATTTAAAAGCCTAGTTCTAACCTTCATTTCATTAAAGGAAAGGTTTTTACCCCAAAAATGTGTCTTTAGAAGGATCCAGGGTCACTTCTTCAAAAAATAGGTAGTTACGCTTGAGCCAACTTTTATGGCTATAAAACTGTTAATCGCTATCCATCTGTTAAAGAGGACACGTGAGATCATTATTTGGTTTTATAACCATAAAAATTGGTCTAATGATCCCATAGGTGGACCCAAAGTGAGGTATTTTATCAAGTCACATTTATGGTAGGTATATGTTAATTATTTATTAAGAAATTAAATGTGTTTTTCTTTAAATTAAATGTTCTTTCAAATAACACCAATATTGTTGGGGCACCATGATTGTGTCAGAAGAAAATCGTTAAAGTTCGCGTCTCGAAAGGAGCGGTTTATTTGATGTTGAGTGTAGTTCATACGTCAAAAGTTGTACAAACGTGTAACTAAAGTTACAAGTTATCTTATCGGGTGTCGCAGATAACTTACTTAAATGCATACTGATCTTTTATCTAGTACCTACTCAATTTTATAACAAAAAGGACACTCACTTGTATAAAATCCAGTGCGTTTTCGTAGGGTTTTATGTCATCTAGCCGTCTCTTTTTCGCATGATCGCTCCTCTCAAGGGAAACTTCAGCTAAGCAGTACTGGGACTCCACTTCAGGATAGGTGGACATCCATGGCGGGTTCATGCATTGGTCGAAGTTGCCTAGTTGGTATCGGTTGCCAGAGAGAAGGCCAAGAGGCTGAGATGAAACGGAGTCCCATTCTATTGACAATAAGTACATAAACTTAGTCTATTCGAAAATGTATAAAAACATTATTTAACAACCGCTCTCCTTCGTTAGAATATTATTATTAAAATGTGATAGTAATTCTTTGAGTTGGAAAGATAGGTAGTGATTTAGATAAACTTCATTGAAAAATCGTTTCATCCACTTTTAGGAGTTACATATGCAGGTACTAAAAGTTCTATGTTTAGAGCTTTGATTGTGCGTGGTGCAAACGACCCCTATTTTAAACAATATGCACGATTTTACAAAAACACCTGACATGTGCATTTAGGCCTCTACAATATATTTTTAACGATCTTTATCATTCCTATAGCAGAGAAAAATGAAATTTAATTTACCTTCACTTTCACGAAAACTTTAATAGTTAAAAGTCCATCATTACACGTTATTAAGTATTCAGCTTAATTTAGAAAATAATAGAAAACTGCTGAACCTGACGATTCAATTTCCCGCCATCACAGATTACTAATAAAGTTGTTCCCGCCAAGAAGTCGCGTAGGTACTTTCTGGTTGACCACAGATTAAACAGAAAATAAATTTAATGCACAAGTAGGTCATATGCGATCATTACACGTTAAACGAGTTTATTGCTTTTGGAGCCGTACTCATTTGCATAATAAAACTTACCCCAAACAGCCCAAAGCGTAAAATTCTGCAAACTCCGAATCAACACTAACGTTTGGTTCAAACACGGCAGCTCCTCCTCAGTCCAATTCTGATATTTCAATCCCACCAACACATCTTCTAAATACATGTATTTACTACGGTTACTATTATCCGATTCATTTATATTAGCACTAACTTTTTTATTCACAGTTTCTTCTATGACGTCTACCGGTAATTTCGTAGTACTTTCAGAATATTTCACGTTATTCGCTACATATCCCACTGTACAGGTGAATAGTAAAACTACGTGAGCAAGTATACGTTTCATCGTGGAGGACTGATGGTAAACTGAGATTAAAAAAAGTATTTGACTTTATAAATGGAGGCATCAGGTGTTGCATGATCAGTAATATAATCAGAGTAATTAGCCAAGTTCGCGAGATTGCAGATCGATGTGTTTAGTCGGATCATTGTGTCTGCGGTGGTTGTCTTGCTCTGTATTGTAGGAATCTTTTTTTTTATTTGCTCTTGGAATTCTTTTAGCGACAATCATAGCAATATTTTTTATTTGTTTATTTTATGTATTAGGAAGACCAGCGTTTACATAATTACTTATTTTACAATTAATAACACTTAATAACCACTTAATGGTCTGCTTTAGGTACGTATCAGGATCTGCTTTAAATACTATCTACTTATTTTGCTTTGTTAAGTTTGTGCCGGATTAGGAGTACTATTCGTACCTACCCCATTCACATTCCCATCTCTCGTTCCCATCGCTACTTATCCAGTTAAAGCCAAGTATCGGGATAGTTCGGGAATAGCAGTAAACGCCATCTAGAGAGAGTTCCCAAAACTAGCTACCCCTATTTTATCTTACAGGTTCAAAATAACACGAGGTGTATTCACACATAGGGGTGGTTGAGCCTTTACTGATATAAAATAATATGGGGTGTAAATGCTAGATGTCGCTTGAATTTAGAACCATTCGCAAATAAAAATATTATAAAGTGCATTAGACCTACCAATGCGATTTTATTATTTTACTACTCTACTTCGTAATATTTATTCCACGCATTTACTTAGCCTCTATGAATAATTTTATTTTCTGTTTAATCTGTGGTCAGTTAGAAAGTTTTTAGCGGGAACAACTTAATAGTAGGNAACCACTAGACCAAACGGCCGACAATACAAACCTAGCATTTAAAGTCTCGCATAATATTGTATTTAATGCGCGTTGAACTTTCTTCTCTCACTCTCTCTCATATTAATTAAATTGTTATTTAATTTGAAATCTACCTAATCAATTTAATTTCAAAAACCACTTACAATAGTTTTAATAATCTAGATTTATTATAGATTCAGTAAAATAATAATATTTTATGTAATAATATCAAATAAATGTAATTTTAAATATAGTTCCATATTTTACTGAATTTTACTAAATCAATATCAACTAAACACACTCTACTCAAGTGTAAGTGGTGTAGTAGAAACTAATCGAGTATAGTTTGGAGATGACTTTTTTTACTAATCTCCTCCAAACTATACACGATCAGTACGCAAAATTCGTGTATAGTTTGGAGTCACAGATTTACAAACAGGTTACAGGCACTCCGAAATATACACGAGCAGTTTCCTATGGGTGCGTTCTGTGCCATGTATAGAACGGAAAGACGCCGCGTCTTCGTGGATGAAATGATCTATACCTAATTACCTAGTACCATTCCAGAGTGTAATTTTATATTGATTGTTTTATACCTATACTTACCTTTTTTATTTTATTTTTAACGTCGGGAAACGGTCGATGGGGATGGCCAGTGGGTTATAATATGTGACTCCCCGTGTGCTCATCAAAGTCGGGACCTACCCACTACTAAAACCCGACGGTGTCCACGGGAGCCCAATGAAACGGTGCCGCGATTGTCCTAGCCTTCAATCCCCTTCTCCAGATTTTTTACAGAGCTTTTGTTCCTCATGGATCTGGTACAAGGACCCCCGGCCCGCCGTAGTAGGTTATGATCTGCTCCATGCTGCTGCTCAGCTCTACTGATCATAGAAATACTGAGAGCGGCCCTCCCAAAGAATGGGCCCGGGCACTCGATTATTTCTAAACCATACAAGATTTCTTCAAAAACTAGTTACTGATCTTGAAAGTGCTTCATTTAGCTCTATCAAACGGTATCAATAGTAGGTTACAGAATAAACTGAATCTAATACTACCGAAAATTCAAGGTTTCCGCTTCCATACGCGTCTGAAATTGCATTTGCAGTAAAGGTTCGATCAAATCAACGCGTGCAGTGGTGATGGCGATCAGACGTAAACGCATTGATAGCCATCGCGCACGGGGCTGCCACGTGTTGGTTTGGTCGAACCTTAAGGCTTGGTATTTCTGCTTAAGTAGGTAAATCTTAGCTTTTAGTTTCACTGTTTAGTACTTCAAAAATGAACAATAAAAACGACTAAACGGGATGTTTTCTCTACCACCCGGCCTTATGTAACAACTACTTAAACACACATTTAAATAAATCACGTGGACATGTTACCTAGCTATCTAATATTACAGACAGCGGCACATCAAGCAAGCTCTAAATGAAACAAAACATATTGTTGTTACTTGTTAGTAATTTATTTTATTATAAATTACCTAGAGATAGATTCACTATTCAATGTGCAAGTTGAATTAGTACTTAAACTTATATACGTAGTTTTTATCTTTCTTTTACTTCCAATAACGCAATAAATAAGCTTATGGAAAGTGAAGGAAGGACATCGTAAAGCGCGCGTCGATCAGCCCGCCCGCGATTTTGAACCGCGGCCGTTATGGTCATGGTACGACTACGAGTAAGTAGGTAAGTACCTACATCCAAAAAAATCGTGGCTTAAAATGTAGATAGGTACGAGTAGGTTCATTTGTACTTAGTAGGTACATTTGTTGCGGGTTTGCGTTCGCATAGTTAGAGCTTGAGAACACTGTGAGTTCTTCGCATAGGAACTAGGTACGCATAGGAAGGAAGGATGAATCTGTCAAACAAGGTGAGGGTCTAAGATTTGGGACTGGAATTTTAAATTGTTTTTACCTGTGGGGACCTATAAGTGGTTTACTCGTTGCCTATCTTATGTCATTATTACACACTGTAAAACCCTGGTTTTCCTAATAGTCCAGTCAATAAAGCATTATAGATGGAAATCCGTGGAACACAATTTTTGACTTCGGGACTTTATTTAGACTAGTTAAGAGGTAAACATAACAAAAGTCCCCGCCCTTAGCCCTTGAGCCGGCGGGGAGAGGGGGGTTTAAAGGTACCACTTTTCGGTTTTTCGCTTAATCCTCGGAAACTATGCGTCCTAGTGACATGACTACTATGAACCAAAAAAAGCTTATTCAATTTGCTGCAGGTGAGATAGTCAAGTTTTTCTATATCTTGTATAGTTTTCGCGGCATCTGCTCTAGAAGGTCTGTAATATTGGAAATTTTATTTTTGTCTTACATGTTCCCATTAGGAGAAAATCGACTAAATCAACATTGAGCAAACATTCTAGACCTGCGGAAGCATGGTAAGCCTAGTTCCAGGGAGGGGACTGCACCGTGCGTATATTTAGACGAACCAATTGGAGCCACTTTTGACTCCTCATCACTCAAAAAGTACTGTGCATTAACACTTCAAATTTGGCTCACGTGTTGAGACTTGCATAATAAACATCAGCTTCAAATTTCATAAATATACCTCAAACGGTTCTTTAGGTATTAACGTCCAAAAATCTACATGTCTGACCTATAGACTAAATTCTAACCACTTCCAGATGACATTGAAGGTTCAAATTTGGCATTTAGATAGGTAGCTGTGTAAATTCAAAGGAACAAATAAAAAACCAGTACATTTTAACATTTCACAGGTGATAGATAGATTTTAGTGTTCTAAATGTCGATTTTTGAACATCAATATCTAAATAACCGTTTGAGGTATATTTATGAAATTTGAAGCTGATGTTTATTATGCAAGTCTCAACACGTGAGCCAAATTTGAAGTGTTAATGCACAGTACTTTTTGAGTGATGAGGAGTCAAAAGTGGCTCCAATTGGTTCGTCTAAATATACGCACGGTGCAGTCCCCTCCCTGGAACTAGGCTTACCATGCTTCCGCAGGTCTAGAATGTTTGCTCAATGTTGATTTAGTCGATTTTCTCCTAATGGGAACATGTAAGACAAAAATAAAATTTCCAATATTACAGACCTTCTAGAGCAGATGCCGCGAAAACTATACAAAATATAGAAAAACTTGACTATCTCACCTGTAGCAAATTGAATAAGCTTTTTTTGGTTCATAGTAGTCATGTCACTAGGACGCATAGTTTCCGAGGATTAAGCGAAAAACCGAAAAGTGGTACCTTTAAACCACCCTCTCCTTGCCGGCTCAAGGGCTAAGGACGGGGACTTTTGCTATGTTCACCTCCTAACTAGTCTAAATAAAGTCCCGAGGTCAGAAATTGTGTTCCACGGATTTCTCTCTACACCGTCGTTAAGGCATTCATTGACTGGACTATAAATAAATAAATAAATAATTGATCAAGCTAATAAGACTTCATAGTTAGGCTTCTGCGTTTCTGAAAACAGTAGTTTTACTTGAAGAATAACTCGTGTTAATGAATAACCTACATACCTAATGCTTACAGTTTTAATCTTGAGTTTTAATTCAAGTGTTTCAAGTAAGTTTGGTGCTGATGTAAACATAAAGTAGGTAAGAGTTAGGGTTTTCCGTATAGTGGGCATAGCCATCGTATGTTCCATCATCATCATCATCATCATTTCAGCCATAGGACGTCTACTGCTGAACATAGGCCTCCCTTAATGATTTCCACGATGGCCGGTCACATCGTATGTTATACCTAGGTAATACGAATATGTATCATAGTGGATCCGCGCCTGGGGGTTTTGATAGTAATCAGTGATGAATAATCGTCCACGTGTAAACATTATTGGAATGTTGAACTTGAAATCGATCGAATAAAATAAAATGAATAAATAATATGCTAGGTGATATTGGTAAAACATATTAGGAAGATAAATAATACATCACGATGTCTAAAACAGCCAACTTGGCTTTTATTTTAGAAACCATCACTTGCAGTGAGAAAAAAACAAACGAATGCTCAAATGCTGACTAAATTATATGCACCTATCTGTCTGTAACCATAGGTTCTATCAACATCGATCTGCAAATGGTCCATATTAGTTCAGTCGCCTAGTCTTAGATTGCGGTCAAATACCTGCCTTGTCTTGCATAAAAAAAATAAAAATATTGTTAATAGAGTGCGCCTACACAATGCGCT